GTAATTAGTTTAAACTATTAATTTTTTTAATCTAGTTAGTGTGGAGTATTAAAAATTTTTATTTTCTCATAATTAGTTTGAACAATAATAAAAAAAAATTCTTTACTATTTGGTTAAACACTTGACAATTATTTTGTTCATTTTCTATTTTTGTTTCTATATATTTCTAATTAATTTTAAGTGTTAACACATGTCATCATCTGAGCAAAAGTAAACACATATCACGATATGGTGAATTAAAATTTTGCTTATGTGTCGTGTTTTCATCGTGTGCATCCTCCTTTATATAATAAGATAAACAAATGGCTTCATCTATAATAGTCAGACGGACCAGCCCGCGTCCAAGTAGCCCAACCCGTAACAGACAAAAAAAATTTCAACCCATACAGGCTGGCCCGTCGCGAGATGCGGGTTCGAAATATATGTCGAGGCCCATATTACTTGGGTAAACAGGCTAACGGGCCAGCCCGCGGGTTATGATAGTCTTGCTACAACGNACAAAAAAAGTGTAACATTGACACACAAGACATGAATGAAACAAAACTAATGTGTATTAGAAGCAAACTCTCAGCTAAAACTTTGTTGTGTATACATGTCAAACGCGAATACATTAACAAAGACTAAAGAAACGGGTTTTAACTATTTTAAATATCTAGTATACACAGTTTATGTGAATCAAAAGAAAACTCTCACCTAAGGTATTATGAAATAAAAACTCAAAATTAAAACTCAAACACCTCAATCTCTACTTGAAATTCAAAACAAAAATATTAAACTAATATCCAAGAAGGCAACAAACAATTAAAAAAAACCAAGCATGATTTTCAATGATTTGTTATAGTACCATATCAATTTGTATTGTATATGTGTTTTTGGCTTAGTATGTACGTAAACTTTTATGTTTCACTTTTACGGTTAGATTCACATTCACATCTATTATATACATTGTATAATTAATATAACTTGATGATATTTTTTTGTTCTGTTTGCGATTGATAAATAGAAAAGAATTTGTTGTTTAAATTTAGTTAGTGATCGATATAAGTTATATGTTTTGTATTTATAATATAAACGTAAAAATATTGGTCGATAAAAATGATGTATTAATGGATTTTTCCGTTTGACTAACTTGCTTTATTCATATTTTAAATAAACATAGATTGAAACCAAACATGTATTTATGATTAAAGAAAATTTTTTTATTAAATTTTGTAACAAAAACTCAAATCATTAACAAGAAGAATACATAAAAAAAAACTAAATTTAAAGTCATTTAGTCAAAACTAAAAATTTGGACGGGCCAAATGGGCCAACCCGTTATGGACCAAAAAAATTTTCAACCCATACGGGTTGGCCCGTCACGGGTTGCGGGTTCTAAATGTGTGTCCAAACCCGCCCTGTTACAGTCTTACTTAGGCTTTGCCCGCTGATCGCAGCCCATATTGACATCTCTAGCTTCATCTCTATTTTTTTTTCAAAAAAAACATATATGTTGATGATATATACTATTTTCATGTCACAAAATTTTAAAAACCTCTAAGCTGGGGAAAAATTGCTTTAAATAAAAACCAAAAAAGTTTTGGGTCATTATGTATAACCAATATAAGGCCCATTAGATATAAACCCATATTAGGTCGATTAGGTTTATTTGCTGCGATCATTCCTTTATATTTAAGCGTCGCCGACTCTCATCTAGGGTTTACGCCACTGAGAGGTTGTTGTCACTGAGAAGAGAGAAGATGCCGGCGAAGCAGAGAACTCCGAAGGTAAGCAGGAACCCTGACCTAATCAGGGGGGTTGGCAAATACTCGAGGTCTCAGATGTACCACAAGAGAGGTCTGTGGGCTATCAAGGCCAAAAACGGCGGCGTTTTACCCCGTCACGACGCTAAGTCCAAGGTCGATGCTCCGGTGGAGAAGCCGGCCAAGTTTTATCCTGCGGAAGATGTTAAGAAACCACTCGCTAACAGACGCAAGCCAAAGCCTACTAAGCTAAAGTAATCCATCTTCTTCGATTGGTATTTGGTTTCAATCTGAATGTGTTATCTCTGTGTTTGATTACGGTAGATTCGGTATTAGGTTTTGATTTGGATCTGCTGGGAATATAAGAGAGATCATTGGAATCTTTCATTTCTATGGTTTGAAATGTAGGATTTGTTGAAATGTAGGATTCATGGACATTTGCAGAATTCGTTAAGCTAAGACTGTAATCTTGTAATAAAAAAACTGGTGCTCTAATGTCTGTATTGCAGATCTAGCATCACTCCAGGGACTGTGTTGATCATTCTTGCTGGTAGATTCAAGGGCAAGAGAGTTGTCTTTCTCAAGCAACTTGCCTCTGGTTTGCTTCTTGTAACAGGTGAGTTCTTACTCTTCTGATTGTTTTTTTTTTATGTCTATGCGAACCTCTTATGGTTGTTTCTTGAGCTTATATCCTTGTAGGTTTTGTTCAATTTCGAAACTTTGTTCATATCCTGTCTTTGTTGATGATCTTCTTCAGGACCGTTCAAGATCAATGGTGTGCCTTTGAGACGTGTTAACCAGGCCTACGTGATTGGAACCTCCACAAAGGTTGACATTTCTGGAGTCAACATTGAGAAGTTCGATGACAAGTATTTTGGCAAGGTTGCTGAGAAGAAGACTAAGAAAGGAGAAGGCGAGTTCTTCGAAGCAGATAAAGTGGTATGCATATATACCATAGCAAACAAACCTAAATTGATGATTAGTAGCATGAACTGAAGTAACCACATATATTTTATGCTCTTAGTTTACCCGCAAATTTGGTTATGGTTTATTATTCTTTGCACCTTAACGGAGTCAATAATTTTGGTTTGATCTGTATCTTTTTTGTATCTGCAGGAGAAGAAAGATATCCCTCAAGAGAAGAAAGACGACCAGAAAACCGTGGACACAGCTCTGATCAAATCCATTGAAGCAGTCCCAGAGCTCAAGACTTACCTCGGTGCCAGGTTCTCATTGAAACAAGGAATGAAACCCCATGAGCTTGTGTTCTAGATTTCGTATCGTTTTTTCCCCTTAAATTTCAAGAATATCTGTTTTCCCTGAGTTTTGCTCTACTCTTTAATCATCCATGGATCTTAAAGACACTGTTTTCTCTGATTTATATATCAAATGGTCAATCAATCTAGCTTTAAGACTTGTGTTATGAATCCCAATTCCAAGGCAAAAGAAAATGAAATGAAAAATAATCGGAAGAATGTGAATGATCATGAATTAATCTTTATACCGAAATAATCAACAGCAGATTTAGCCATAATTGAAGCAAATACTCCAAAGCTTATAACACCATCCCCATTTGTATCAGCTTCCTTGATCATCTCTGTTAACTCCTTATACGTCAATGGTTGCCCCATTTTGGCCATTGCCCCGGCTAGCTCGGCCGCGCTGATGAATCCATTACCGTCTCTATCGAACGATTTGAAAATGTCGAGCAATTGCTCCGAATTGATGAGGATCTCTTCGTTCATATCAGGAAGAATTGTGCCAACGAGCTCATCAAATTCGACAAAACCGTTGCCGTTTGAATCCATGCTTGCTAACAAAACGTGGATTTGGTCGCCAGAAGGTTTGAGACCGAGTGACCGGAGAAGCGCCGCGAGTTCTAAGATCGTTAAGCTTCCGTCTGCGTCCATGTCGAACCGATCGAAAATGTCTCTTAATTGTCTTAGTTGATCCTCCATAACTTGCTTATCTTCTTTAGGAACACAAGATCAAAATCTATCAATAAAAAATGTATTTGGTGGGATTTAGAATTATCGAATGAGAGGATATGAAGATTGACTTTTTTTCTTTCCCAGGAGGATTTAGAATTAAAATTCTTAATTTGTTTTGCATGTTTTAATGGTTTGTTCTTTTTTTGTTTTGTGTGGGTTTGTTGATTGTTAGTGATATAAATAGAAAAAGAACAAAGTATTTAGAGTAAATATATGTAGAATTCATGATGACTGTTGTGAAACAAAACATGTAATTGTCCAAAGAAACCCAAAGAAATTTAGAAACGTGACAGAAACTATAAATGCAGTAAAATAAAATTATAAACGAATGGTAACGACTAATGAAATGTGATAACTATTGTTGTTGTCAAAACAGAAATGGGTACTGGATATGTGATAAAATTATAAATGTTTGAATGATGTAAGACGTTATAATATGTTGAATATTTAGAAATGTGACAAGTTAAAAGATTTTTGAATAATTTTTAACTATATACGAAACAGGAACTAAAGAAACGTGATAAATCATGATAATTGAATGATAGTCGTGAAAAACAAACATGACATTGTGCTAACAAAAGCTAA